GCCGGCACCAGTCAAAAAACCAAGCTAGGGGTTTGTCAATCCACTCCAACCCGTGAAACAGACTGGCACCTAGCCCATGCTAGTCTCCAGGCCAACCTAAAATTGACTGACCCAGGGACCGGCCCATTTTCTTTTTTACGCCTGGCGCATGGCACTCACGCTCGAGTGGGCGCGAGTAGCAGACAACAATTCAGTGGTGGGGCCCGTTGATAGGTGCACTCAATTGTCACTCGGGCTTGCGACGTGGCCCACTATATGCCTTTGGATTTCCAACGGTACAAAATTTTGAATTATAATTTTGATCTGGACTGTTCAATCACAGATCAACGATCCACGTTTTTCAACCCAAAAAAAAAGAGACCCCAACGGTCAGAATTATGACCATTGGCCACGTGGCATCTTATAGGATGTTGGATTTGAATAATTTTCAAATCCAACGGTCCAGATTAATTAACTACATTAAAATTAATTAAAAATTATAAAAAATACAGAAAAATTTTAAAAAAATTATTTTTTTTCTATAAATACCTGACCCTCATCTTCCACCTTACACCATATTTCAATATTTTCTACACTTTCTACACTATCTAAATTTCAATATTTTCTACACTTTGAGAGAAAAAAATGTCTTCGTGGAAGAACATTGAAGATGTACATTGTGTGAATGTTGGGTTCACACTACTTATGACCCAATTACGGGTAATGAGATGGATAAGCGAAAAATGTGGGGTAAAATTACGAAAGCGTTTTGCAATGTACATGGAAAAGACGCCAGAACTAGTCAAGGTCTTCAAGGTCGTTGGAAAAAACTCAACGCATCATTTACTTGTTGGAAAAACGCATCGCTCATGCTTCTGGTAATCTGCGTAGTGGGACAAGTTTAGCGGATCAGGTGACAATATGTTTATTTATTTATATGCATTCCACCCACATCAATATTTTAATTTATTTACTTTCTTATGTAATTTATTTTCATTCCACCTGCATCAATATTTTAATTTATTTATTTGTGTTACACCCACATTTTTTAATACTGTCTTATCCCACATTTTTATAGGCACTACAAGCACAAGCATTCTACAATGCAAAGAACTAGAACAAATCATTCAACAAATGGGAATGTTGGCAAATTGTCAAAGATTGCCCTAAATAGAAAATTGTGGCAACCGGTCCAGAAGTTGTCATGCATGGCATGGGTCTACACAGTTCGCCAGAAGCAGACACGGCCGAACAAGAAGCCTACACATTTGAAGACACGGAAGGGATGCCTGAAGTAGACACAGGTGAACAAGTGCCGGAAACCCAACCGACTCGTCAGCCCTTAGGCCTCAAGGCAAAAAGCATTAAAGAAAAAGGTAGTTCTTCCAAAAATGACTACACTAAATGTACGGAGGAACTTGCTCGCCAAGGTGAACTGAACATGGCGCGGGAAAAGGCTAGAGATGAGGAAAAAGCTAGTGCTATGGCAGGAATAATAGCAGCTACTGAGGCTCGTGATGCGGCGGCTGAGAGACAAAGAGAAATAGTTAATCAAGAGAACGAGATGATTACATAAGCACTTCATCGAGAAAATGAGATGCTTAGAGAAGAAAGGATGACTTAAGCAAATCGTGACACTATGAACAAGCCTCTAGTAGGACTGTTTCCGAATTTAAAATATTTTTAAACATCGAAAAAAAGAGAGGTTGTGCGAATGAGGCGTGCAAGAGATGCTGAAATAAGTCGAGGGGGTTCTAGCTATAGAAATCCTAGCAACGAAGATCTTAGCACCACATATCCTAACTCCACAGACTTTGTATAATTTCGTATTTATTTGTAGTACTTTTTTTAATTTGTTATGTAATTTCTTATTTATTTTTAGAATTTTATTTAATTTCTTATGTAATTTTTATGTAATTTCTTATTTATTTTTAGAACTTTATTTAATTTCTTATGTAATTTCTTATTTATTTTTAGAATTTTATTTAATTTCTTATTTATTTTTATGCAATTTCAAATTTATTTTTTGTACTTTATTTAAACACATTAAATAAGATTACATAAACTCACCAAATAAACTTAAAAAAAAAACACCAAATAAAATTACATAACCTCACCATATAAACTTAAAAAAAATACACTAAATAAGATTACTTAAAAAAATAGACTTTATTCTTCAACCACAAGCCTCATTTTAATTATCTTCACCTTCGTGCAATCCCCACTGGTGCTCAATCAAGTCATTTTGGCGGGTTATGTGCCAATATGACTCTTGCAATGAAGTATACTGCTGAACGATCAATTCATTATAACGTCCATCCCGTTCCAACGGCTCGTGTTGCATTGGATCTTCGGTCCGGTCATGAGCACAATAGATTTGTGTTCTTGAGTTGTTCATCGGATCTGGCTCCTATTCATCGACGGCATCATAATCATACTCATCTTCAACAATCATGTTGTGGATAATAATACAAGTCATCATGATTGATCGAAAAGCCTCGACATCAAACATTCTAGCTGCAGCTTTGAAAATCGCCCAACGACTTTGCAGGATACCAAAACAACGTTTGACATCCTCCCTACACCCCTCTTGACATTTTACGAAGTGTTTTCTTTTTCACTCTGTGGATGTGGCACTGTTTTGACAAACATTGACCATCTTGGGTAAATGCCATCTGCAAGGTAGTATGGTCCCTCGTATTTATTACCATTAACTCAATATGTGCATCTCGGTGATTTTCCTTGCAGCAGTTCGTCGAACATTGGAGATTGGGCAATGACATTTAGGTCATTCTGAACTCCTGGAACACCAGAAAAGGCATGCCAAATCCACGTATCAAATGAAGCCACCGCTTCCAAAATGATGTTTTTGGCTCATTTTCTGTCGCCATAAGCTCCTTGCCACGCACTTGGACAATTTTTCCAAGTTCAATGCATGCAGTCGATGCTTCGAATTATGCCAGGGAAGTCTCGCATCTTGCCATTCCTCAGAAGCATTCGCATGTCCCTTGGCGTGGGTTTCCGGAGGTACTCATTGGTGTATAGGGCTTCAATTGTAGAGCACAACCGCATCAAGGACTCCAGAACAATTGTTTTTCCCATCCTCGCGATCTCATCCACTTGATTTGCAGATGCTCCGTATGCAAGCATTCACAAGGCAGCCGTAATTTTTTGCTCGGGAAGAAGACCTAGAACATGAAAAGCATCTTCTTTTTGCACAAAGTATGGATCATGGTTGCAAACAACACTTATGCTTTTGTCGAACTTTGTTGCATTCTAAAACGACGTCTAAAAACATGATCAGGGAGTACGCTGTTGGGAATAAAATAATCTTCCAAGAGATCTTTACCTCGTATTTCCCTTCTTCTATCGATGTTTACGTCACGTCTGGGTTTGGCTATCTAACCCACAGCTTCCATGACACGGCGGGAATGTGAGACCCTCTGCCTTCTATGGTGATCATCCTCATCCTCCTCCATTGCGAAAGCCTCATCTCTACCTCCACCTTCCTCGAGATTGACCAATTCTTCCTGTTGTGCCAACAACCTTTTCTGTTGCTCCTGTAACTGTTTATACACTCTCCTTGAAGAAGACATTGTAAGCACGCAAGATTTGGAAACGATGAAGAAGAATTCTGAGCTAAAAAAAAAGATTGAGTTTGGTGTGAGGATGGATGTAGGGATGTAGGGCTTATATGGACAAAAAAAGAAAGGATGAGGTTTTGGACAATGCCACGTGGCACTATGGAATTGGTCGAAAATCTTATCAAAATCTTGGCTAAATTATTGTAAACAGGAAGTGACACGTGGTGTGTCGAGATTGGTTGAAAATCTTATCAGAAATCTATCCACAAAATAGTACGTTCAGATAATGACACGTGACGTGACAAGATTGATTGAAAATCTTATCAAAATCTTGGCTAAATTATTGTAAACAGGAAGTGACACGTGGTGTGTCGGGATTGGTTGAAAATCTTATCGGAAATCTATTCACAAAATAGTACGTTCGGATAATGACACGTAGTGTGACGAGATTGATTAAAAATCCTATATGAAATTAAAACTATTTTATTTATTTATTTATTTTTTAAAATATAAAATATTTTAAATGGGTTGGGTGCCAACCCATATTGTAGGGGTGAGGAGATCGCTTGTGCCAGCGCATTTTTTTAGGGGTGAAGATGCTTTGGCCTATTACTGTTCATTGGGGTCTATTAGTGTTCACTTGAGTAGATAAATGGACTGGATGCTGGCGCAAAGTCTTAGGGGTGGAATTGCTCTAAGGGGAATCATTACTTGACAATTTGAGTTATGACTTTGGTAGAATTCTGAGTGTGTTTTCTCCACTCAAACACATGGCAAGTTCAATTATGCTAAAAAATAATTATAGAGGTTAAACTTTTATTTGTTACAAATAATGGATAATTTACATTAAATTAACTCACGGGAAGAAGAGTTCAAATTTTGATGCAAATACAGGAGTTAACTTGACTAACTCCATATCTGTAATAACTCATTAAACTTCGCTATTGTTTTATCGGTGACATAAAAGAAAAACAAAGAAAACCTAATTACCATCCTAGTCCATCCCCATAATCAAATCAAGTTGGAACTTCTAATTGAAATGTAAGATGGACCAAAATGAAGTCCTACATGCCTTGTCACAAAGCTTAGGAAAAGGAAATTAAGCCCAGACGCAGGCGGGGTATCCCAATGTCCTCTTTAATACAACATTTCCTATATCTGTTATAAGACTCTAAACATCTTCATTAACGGTTTAATTAACATCATCATGCATAAAAGAGAGAGCTAATCCACTATCTATAATATATGACTGACATAATCAAATTGATTTCAACAGTACCAAAACCAAAATCACCAATAAAAGAGTCATTGGTATGCTAATTCAAAATCTAAAGATGTTCATTAACAATTTAACATAATGATACAAGAGAAAATCATAAGACGGTATAACACAAACTGGAGTTATATATAAGAACAATATTATTGCTATGATTCCAACTAAATGTCTAGCAATATTCCATCTTTCTTAGATGAAGCATTTCTACTACTACTCGAGAGGCTCCACTGATCGGAAAATCCCAAACCCGAAACCGAACCACCACTCCCACATTTAGCCACAGTCCTCACACTCTCAATCAACTGCTGAGTCCGACCCTCTTGAGCCAAAATCTCCAACAGCTGCTCTGGACTGATCACCAGCTTCACCTTCCAAAAACTGACGTTGTTGTACTTCGAAAACGCCTCGGTGTAAGACCTCTTCATCATTCCTTGGTAATCAAGCGACATTCTGTAGGGCGCAGCAAGTGAACAAGTTGGTATGCTGTTTGACCTAACATGTCCTTCCCTCACAATCTGGGCGCTGCCCAAGTGACGACCACTTTGGCTGTTGAGAGGGAGAAGATAGTAACTATGTCCTGCCAGAAGATCATCATGGTTAGAGAGCGGTTTCCAAAATAGGTCATGGCTTCTGAATATTCCATGGCCTGGAAATTCCTTGGTGATGGAGCCTACTGTGATTGGCACATAAAACTCCATTATCCCACCATTTGATGCTGTCACTTGGACTACCCCATCTGCATCTCCCAAACCTCCAAACAAGCAATTGCCCATTTATTAAAAATCCCTACTAAAACCTTTGTTGCTCTTGTTGTAGTTATAACTTTAAATTAGAGACAGCTTATGACTAGTGGGTTGCTTGGAGGGATAAAGGAGAGGGAAAGTTATGGAGGGAGAGAGGGATTATTGATTTATTCGTCGGTGGGATACTTCTTCGGAGCTTTCCTCAACTAAACAGAGAATATAAAAACAAGTAAACAAAAGGATATACAAAAAGAAAAAGTAGTGTGACAAAAGAAGGCCACTAGTGCGTTGTGGTCGGAAAGCGTATATAATATGTGTTTTATATGGTACGGTGATGCAGGAAATGGTTGGAAAATGGAAATAGTTGGTAGTTTAGGATCTATATACTGGTGCATTCCTTGAATAAGAAGTGTTATGCACTCTTATTTTTCTTTTGTATATTTTTGTTTATTTTTAACTAGATTGTAAAACTCAAGTAATAAAAACTAGATGGAGTCCATTTATTAAGTGTGTAAATATAAAAATTTATATAAAAAAAAAGTAAAATATGAAAGAGAAAAAAGTTGGAGAGAAATGTGAGAGAGAAAAAAAATGTGGGTTACTTTTATTAAATTTTGAGCAAAATTACTTTAATGGCTATACTTTTCTTTCTGATATTTTCTTCTAATTATGCATGAAAGGTTGTTAATGGTATCTTTGTTAACTTTTGGTTAAAAATAAATGTTCTATTAATATGTAGTATAGATAAGCAGTATGCAGAAAGATAAAAAAAAATGTGAGCATAAATGAAAATCCCTTATTATTTTTGGGTCAATAATTCCATTAACCATCTTTTTCACTTTCTCTTTATAAAAAATGGTAAAGAAAAACTAAAGAACCCCAATAAAATTTACGCGCCAATACAGAAAAAATTGGTAAAGAACAAAACCCTTATCTAGGAATCTCATCATTCACTCGTTGTTTAAAGTGAAAGTGGCAATTTGACTAGTCCTCCCGTATGTGAATATGCCTTTAAAATCAAGGGTAGCTACCATTCTTTTTGTCTCTTACCGCCTCAAGAAGGTGGAAATAAATTCTCTCTGAATCTCTTCCATCAAATTCATTAAGTCTACTAATCAGGATCTTTGAAATTTAATTCAACGATTAAAAATAGGGAACCTTTCTAAAAATTATAATAGCTTTAACCATTAAATCAAATTTTAAATGTCCGAATGAGTGAATTTAGTGGATTTGATAGAAGGGATACGAAGTGAATCCCTTTTCCAATGAGGAAGAAACAAAGAGAGTGGGAAACTACGGAAATTCAGGGCAGACAAATTGGTCGCATTTAGATTTGCTTTTCCATGGGAACATTTAGGCATGGCATGCTGTATGCAATCTTTAGCTCAGATGTATAAAACGATTTCCAATTTTTCACCGCAAAGTTGATGTTTCATGGAATCTTATGCGCTCATAATGCATCAAAGCCCGCGGTCGGTTATATTTAATCATGTCTTTTATTTTATTTTTTTGAGATAGTTTGATATAAGCCCGTAGTCCATTATATTTAATCATGCTTTTGTTTTTATTTTGAGAATTTTAACGAAAAGTTTTCGTTACTGTTTATTTTAACGAAAAACCACATTTTTATACTGAAAAGTCAATCATGGTACTATTCACTTTACTTTTTATTTTTTCCTTATCGTTAAAACTCAAAGTTTTCAAGTCATTTTCATTAGTTTGCCTTTTTATTTTACATCATGGAATGTTTCTTTGAAACTAACTGGCATGGTTTCGGTTATTGTTGAACAATACTTGGCTACTCAAATATGAGTAGGAATTCCTATAAAAAAAATTCAAAATTGTTGGTTGGCAATTTATAGAATTTTGTGTTTATAATCAAAACCGTTCATATTATAAATCGCTCCATAAAGATCACCTCTACAAAAAAATCAATTAAAACTAAGATCGTTTAGTCATGAAACTATTTAAAAACAAATGAACGGTATTGGTAAAAGTATTACGAACCATCTACGTATTTGCTACAATAGATTGACTAAACGCCCTTAGTTTTAATTTATTTTTTGTAGAGATGATCTTTACAGTGTGATTCATAGTATGAACGGTTCTGATCATAAATACAAAGCTCTGTAATTAAAACACTAAGGGCTCTTTTACTAATCCGTAATGAGATTGAGGGGAAAATTGAATTGAATTGAAGGGGAATCATAATTAGATTCATGTTAAAGTTGTTTACTAAACTAGTTGGAATCGGAGTAAGAATATTCTTGGTTTTGTATAACTTGTTTACTAATTCATCTGAATCGGAATTAAAACTAGCTTGATTACTAAATTGCCCTTGTTAAAATAAATTATTCTTAAGTTTATATAGATAACCATATATAAACTTTGTATCTATATAAAGTTTATTAGCTTTCATGCACACGCTCACGCACGTGCAGAAGATATTTTTTGAATCACGGCGTGCTACGCACGACTTATACGTTTTAAATGTATTTATATGAGTAAATTGACAAAAGGAAAGTCAAATATTTGAAGTAAATGAATAATATTAGATCATGCTAGAAGAAACCCCTCATAAACTAATTAAAGCAGCTGAATTCATATAATAAAATCTGTCTCTATAGAATTTACATTAAGAATAGAGAAAATAATATTTAATAAGCAATTGATTGAATTACATTATTGCTAACCTATAGTGAGGCTAAGTCCACCCCCTCCTCCTTAGTATAGATAATATCGTTTGTTAAAAAAAAAAAAAATCATTTGACGACTAATTTAATCACATTATTATCCTCATGCGAAAGACCATTTTTATAACCAACATTACACGCCTCTTAAGATGTTTTGAACGTGTTTAAAAATAGAGAAAATAATATTTAATAAATAACTGATTGAATCACATTATTGCTAGCTCATTGTGAGGCTAAACCCACCCCCCTCTCCCTTAGTGTAGATAATATTGTTTGTTAAAAAAAATTCATTCGACAATTAATTTAATTACATTATTATCCGCGTGCGAAAGATCTTTTTTATAACCGATATTACACGCCTCTTAAGATGTTATGAACGTGTTTAAAAATCGAGAAATTGAATCACATTATTGCTAGCCCATTGTAAGGTACTATTTTTTTTTAAAGCACAAAAAATTTATTATTAAAAAAAACATTGTTAAAATGATGAAAATGCCCCTGCCTATTTTGGGATGCCTTTGAAGTTTTTTGTATTGGGGCATTTTTGTCCAAATATTTTTGTTGAAACTTGGTGACACCAAAAGTACTTTTATTGTTTGTTAAAAAAAACAATAATTTGACAACTAATTTAATTACATTATTATCCGCATGCGAAAGATCTTTTGTATAACCGGCATTACAAGCGTATTAAGATGTTATGAAGGTGTTTAAAAATAGAGAAATTGAATCACATTATTACTAGCCTATTGTGAAGTACTAATTTAAAAATAAAATAAAGCACAAAAAAACTAAGTATTAAAAAAGCACTGTTAAAATGATGAAAATGCCTCTGCCTTATTTGATGCATTATTTTGGGATGCCTTTGAAGTTTTTTGTATTGTGGGCATTTTTGTTCAAATATTTTTGTTGAAGCTGGGTGACACCAAAAGTACTATTCACCTTTTGTATTGGCTTCATGTATAGATTTGTATAAAAATATTCGTACAATATATATATATATATATATATATATATATATTGTTGCAGTCCTATTAGATTAGGAATGTACTTGTGTAAATCCTAGTAGATATGAGAATATATTTTATATTCTTATTAGGAGTAGATTACCTATTAAATGTTGTAATCCTAAAGCGTAAGGAATTAACATTCCCTACTACTATAAATAAAGGCACAATGGGGTGGAATAGAACACATCCCACAATTACACATCTGTATCTTTCTCTCTACTACTACTATAAATAAAGGCACAATGGGGTGGAATAGAACACACCCCACGATTACACATCTCTATCTTTCTCTCTACTATTGCCGCACCTTCCTTCTCTCTCTAGCCTTCATAATTGTTTATTAAATTATGCCTACAACACGTTATCAGCACGTTTTTTACGCTAGGCTAACAAGAGTTTGATCTTTAATTAGGGGAGTATTACGTTTTAATCATTCTTTTTATAATTAATTTATTATTTTATTGAATTGATCTACATGCTATTGATTCAATTTAAATTTTTTTTGTGTTGAACGTGATACAAAGCATTGGAGATGCAATTCCGACTTTCTGAGAAGGATCTTCTACAAATTCAAAGGCTTTTATTGTTTTTTGCCAATCAGGTACGTTTAAAATAAAGTAAGATGTTTAAATCGACCTTGAAGCATGAAAACATTCCCCATGATGCATGAAACCCCCTATGTTTATATTTTCCTTCCGATATATATATAATGTATATGTTCATATATTTGTCAAAAAATATATTTTTTTCATGCATTGCACAATTAATTTGCTATGTGGAATTTGTAAGTCAATGTTTATAAAATAAAGTAGAAGCACATTTAGGGTTTCCTAAACCCTAAGGGATTTCGGAAAAAAAAAAAAAGGAAGGGGAAATTGGACATAGTGTAGCACACCCACCGCACCATCACTATGCATGTCACAACTTTGGTGGGCCTAAAGCCCTAAGCCCAACTGCACCTTGGCCCGCAACTATTAACTCGCATTCACCCAGGCCTGAAGTCTGCTCACTTCGGTGCTAGCCCACACGATTGGGCTTGGTTCCTGCGGCCCACGCCAGCAAGTTGTCATGCTTGCTAGGCTTTGTGTCAGCCCCAACCCACATCGCATGTCGCCAGCCCATGTGACTGGGCTCCCTATGCAAACCCACAGGCCAGCTTTCGCTGGGCCCTAACCTGTGCCCCCTCTTAGCCCCAATTATGCCAACACTTGTTACTGGGCTTCAAAAATTGGCTTGTGGCTTGAAGACCAATCTGTAGGCTGCTTTTGCAGCCATACCCAACCCGAGCCCCTTCTTCTGCTCACGACAGCCAGTCCTCTTTTGGGCTACG